GTCTTGTGTGTGTATGTGAATGTGTATGATGTCTTGTGTGTGTGTGTATGTGTGTGTGTGTGCGTGCACACGCACGCACACGTGGTATCTTGTGTGTGTATGTGTATATGTGTATTCTTGTAAACTTCAACATATTGAGCATCACTGAACTTCAGAAAAAGACTGGAAATGTAAAATATATTCTACAACCAATATAAATGATATTGATTTTCAGATGGTCCACTCCTTCAGATTACTCATGCTGCCTGCCGCCGTTCTATTACTGTAGAGCACTGAGTTGTCTGTGTGTTCGCTTAAGCCCACAGAGAAGCCCAGATCACCACGCTGCAATATCAATCATGCCTTTATGATTCATCTCTCCTAAAAGCCTCCATTGAAATGATAATGCACTAACCTGTCTCCAGTTAATGGCAAAATAATGGTTGCTTGGGAAGAAAACACAATGAAGGACAATCTCATTTCAGGGCTGCAAAATAAGGAAAGAGGCAGTTAAAACATTTTAAAAAGAAATATTGGTACAATACAGAAAGCAGAGCCAGGGCGTCTCTTTTAAAATTAGCCCCACTGAACAGCCTCCACTTCCCTTAAATGGAACTCCACTCAGCCTTCCTGTCTGCACTGCATTTCTCTTTATGCAGCCGGTGCTTCTCAGCTCTCAAAACACTCCTCCATGAATTACGGGGTTTACATCTAGAAAGGATAACTGGAAAGTCTCTAGGCTTCCGCAAGACTCTTTCCTAGAAATATGTTCTTTCCTTTGATCTTCTACATCTCTTTGCAAGAGGCCACACCCTCAGCTTAGGGCTGGAGACAAGCCAGTTTAACTTAGGAGCCACAGTTATGATAACAGTCCAGACAAAATTCACCATAAATACTGTAAATACTTAAATTTCTTATGACTTAATAATCACGTTTCTTAATACTTTGAGCATTAAGAAATCACTTTTTGATTTGGCATTTCAGCTTCCCAATCTGTCTTCTAGGATTCAGACACAATGTCACCGAGACGTGGTTGTTTTGAGAAGAGCATATGCTGATGCTGCTCTGGCCTGAAACTGCAGATATGAAACTAACACACTGGCTAAAAGGTCAGAGTCCCCTCCAACGGCCCTCGCTGCTGTGGGCACTGTGCTTGTCAGTAGCCATCTTTTATTCATGTCCCACAACATATAATTAGTAACTGAGCAACTATACTTGAGCCAGAGAACAGTATACGCTATAGAAATTCCAACTTGGGAACCAGAGTCAGTAAGAGCCTCGTTCTTTTCAGATGCTACACTGAAGTAATCCATCGCTTCGGAGTAGCACTGCATGACACTCTCAGCACATTCAGCGATTGAATCAGAAGCTTATAAACAACTGTCTATCCCGCTTTGACAGTTACAGAGATCAGCTCTTATTTATTTTCCTTCCCTAGATGGTTTTACCTCAGATCCTGTTCAGGAACCAGAGTGCCATCTTTAGCTTCTGAAGCAGGAGACTGATGATTGAACACGGACAGGCATACATTTTTATAGGGATAGCTTTACTGCTGCCAATAACCAAAGCGGGGATTGCCTAGGCCTCTACAGATTGTTTGAAGTTGCTTGCAACATGACTTTCAAAATGTTTTGATCATCCAAGCCTGTTTTACAGAAAACATTTGGGCTAACAAGACTGAAGGAGGCAATATTTAATGACACAGCTCCTATTCGTGTCCCTTCCCATTATCCTGATAAACTTGCACTTGTTCCTGGCATCCAAAAGAAAACCAGAAGAGGGGAGCCACAAAAAATCATGGCATCTAAGGGTTATTTTTAAATAGGGAATGCCACTAATTCCTGGTTACTTCTAAATAAGAGAGTAAGCTGGATTTACCAGCAGCCATGCTTTTTATAGGCGAGGGAAAGAGTGTTTGCTCATGAAGCCTCCTGCATATATACAACGGTTACATTTTAAACCAGCCACACACCCACACATTGTGTAAACACAACTCATTTCTTTAAATGCCATACACACACACGTGCTTTTTCAGCTAGTGAGTTATTAACACATGTTCATTTAAAGTTTTCTGACACTTTCTCCTTTTAAATGTGGACGTTTACAGAGCCAAGTGTGTGGAATTGAAAATATAGTACGGGTACTATTAGAATGAAATGTATTCTTTAATGTGGTGAATTATGAGAAAGCATAACTCAAACTCAAAACAGATGAATGGCCGAAAAGGAAAGACGTTAAGAGTTGTATTTGAAGCTGTTTCCTCACACCCTGGGCCGAGTTTCTGGGAGCCAGATAAAATGAACTTCCAAGGGTTAGCCGAAAGTCTCCACCAAACACCATGTGTTAAAGGGCCACTTTGAGATGCATAAAATTCAACATCTGATTTCAGAAAAGGTTTTGCTTGCAAAGGGTTTCAGAACAGAGAAACTAGGCTGTTTGTTCGATTTCCTCTCCAATGCCGAGAAGGGTACAATGGGGAGACATACCTCACAAATCTCTCTGTCAGCTGGTGGACAAAATTATAAATTTCAATCCAATTATTTGCTACACTGCCAGACCTGGAAAAGGAAGATAAATTGATCAGAAAGACAAAAAAAGTGGGCCTTAATGGCAAACAGTTCTTCAGTTCTACAAGGCGCATGCTGGGGGGACGGGGTGGGGGGGGGACGCAAGGGGGCGCTCGAGGGGGGGCGCGGCGGGAGTGGCTGGGGAACTGGCTCCTCCCCCTTCAAAGTGAAGTGCCTGTCTATGTTCATGTTCAGGGCTGAAACTTTAGTGTCTGGGCTGAATCAAGGACACCAGGAAGACCACACTTCTTTGGGGGCAACTTGTTTGTTTACTGTTTACAATGAGAGCTGGCTTTTCAAAATAAAAACACAAGCCCTCATTTCTCAGGAAATGCAAACCATATTGGGTAAATTAAGGCTTTTTTTTCCTGGCTCCCACGGAAGCATTGTGATCAGGACAAAATTGGGCAAACTTTAGAATGTCTGTACGGGTCTAGGGAGTGTGATAAAGAGGCCAAAGAGTCACAAAAGTTCCTGGGATGAAACATGCTGCAGGTGGTCACACTTCCATTTCCCAAGAGACTCCAGGACAAAAAAAAGCAGTGCACACCTCTCCTCTGGAGAACCAAGTAGCCCTGGAGTCTCACAGCCTCTATTTATCTACAGCGAATGAGCTTGCTTTTGAAAGGAATCAGCCGCATGCTCGCTAGGGAGAGTTCCCATTGCCTTCCCCTGAACCCAACACATCTCAACTTCAGTCCTAGCGCTGCCCTCCCTTCCAGGAGACCCTGACCCACAGTTCTCCTTCACTCACTTGTCCAGAACGAAGTACAAATCGAAGGCTTTTTTGCAAGAGGGCTGCTCCTGGGCTTGCAGCAACGACCCCAGACCGCCCACAGTCAACAGCCACAGGCCAGGGAACAGCCAGCTCCCAGGGCTGCGCGCCCGGTACCGACCCGCCACCATCCTGTGGCCCGGGCCCGGCGGCTTCCTCTGGTTCACAACCCCTTGGGTTCCGGGGTCTGGGCTCCCGGCTTCACAGAACAGAGAGACACGAAAGAGGCGGAGTCACCGGGGACTCACCCCGGGGTCAGAGGCTGAGTGGGACTGGGATGCCCGCTGCAAGCTCAGAGCCACCCAACAGCTGCCACCGAGGAGAGAGAGCGAGGTCCTAGGAGGACAAAGAGAATCTCCGCGGCCGCCACAGCTGCCGCCGGAACTCTGGGCAAATCCCAGCGGACAGAGTCCAGTCCTCCCACTCCGGATTCCAGAGAGTTGCTGCAGACAATGAGGCCCGCGGCGACAGCTCTCGGGACAAGTTCCTCGCTGTCTCCTGCCGAGTCTCCGGCGCCTACCAGGGAGCAGAGGGGCTGCCGTCTGGCTGCCGTGGTGAGCTGCGGGACAGGCGCCCGCGGACCCCACGATCGCCGCGGGAACTCAGCCGAGTCCTCCTCTTCCGCCTCTCTTCCTCGGACCGCCCAACTCCTCCCGGCACTTTACAACTTTCTTCCCTGCCCCGAACCTGGCACAGCGCCTGCAGCCTGGGATGCTGAGCGCCTGGTGGGGAGCGGCAGGACATGGGGCACCCCAGGCCTGGGGGGTGCTGACCAGTCTGCTCGTGCGAGCTCGAGGGCGGGGCACAGGGAGGAAGCTCGCCGAGCCACACAAGCACACTTATGGGTTCGTGCTGAGCGGCGGATGACTAACGCCTGCCAGATTTCAGAAGGAAGAGAGGAGTTCTGAAAAACAAACGTCCTCTAGATACTAAACATGTCCCACTCTCCGGCAAGCCTGGCCCGGCCTGTTTTCCCCAGCTGTGCTGGAACGGCCCTCCTCGTGGTTTAGGGACTCAAGACCAGCTGTCTCCTGGATAGTGATGGCCTTATGCCTCATCCCTCCGCACCCCTCATCCATCACACACCGACCCAGTGACGCAGGCCTTAGTGTTTAAGAAAGGGGACTTCCTCTTTTCTCTCTCTCTCTCTTTTTCTACTTGACATTTTTGCATATTTTCATTAATTCTGAGAATTTCATGCGACTTGTATTGATCATATATACTTTCAACCCCCCAACACCTCCCTCTAACGCCTCTGACATCAACCCTTCCCTCCCTACACACAGCCCTCAACTTCCTGTCCCTTTTCCTTTTTTCAAGAACCCATAGACTCCAGTTTGAGTAGTCAGTATACTCCTGGTCCACGTTGGGGCCATCCACCAGAGTAGGTTTAACCTACAAAGAACCACATCCGTAAAGAAAACTCCATCCACACCCAGAAGCCATCTACTGTGCATAGCTCCAGGGTGAAGGGTGGGGTCTCATGAAATGTTTCCCACTCTAGGCTAGCATGTTGACTGGCTTGATCTTCTGCGGGTCTTACACGACAGCCTCAGCGGCTGTGTGCTCATGTGTACAGTAATCCTGTCATGTCCAGAGGCCAGTGCTTAGGCCCCTGACCTTTGAGCTCTTGGAATCTTTTCACTCACCCTACTCCCCACCCTTTCTGGATTGTCCTGGAACGTTTAAGGACGGCTTGTGATTTATATGTCCCATTTGTGGCTGAACATTCCACAGGCATTTATTCTCTTCGATTTGACCATTCGTGGGTCAAATCATTCTGCATTAACCACCGTCCCTGCACCAAGAAACTTGTCTGATGAGGTCTAAGAGTTGCGCTGATCTACACGAATTCAGAGGGCCGTTTGTGTTGATGTCCATTTATTTGCCTCAGAGTAGTAGGTTCGGTCCTGTGGCCCGTGAGCACCACAGCCATGGGTTCTTGGCCAGACTTACAGTATCAGATATGTTTCTTTCTGTGGAGTGGATCTTAAACCCAATCAGAAAATGGCTATTACCCTATAGCATTTGTACCATCATTGTAGAAATGGGCATATCTTGTCATGCTAGCCATTCTTGTGCTTGCAGGCTTCACGGGCAGGCGGGACTATTGATAGCTTTTCTTTCTTGGCAGCTCTCATAATAATTCTAAGACTATAAGCTGAACTTCAGGGAGACTACAGGTCAGTTCCTGATAGATTCCTCAAAGTCCTGTGTCCAAAATGTGTGGTGTCTGCAGCAACAGGGTCTTGATATCAAGTTCTGGTAGGCAACCAAGAGTGATGGTAATAGCCTGTATTGATTTAGGGACTCTTTGGGATACCTGAGACCAACAACTTAAAGGAAGGTAATCCCACACCTGGCACTGGGCTTTGAATTTGCATCTCTCCCAGCCAAGAAAAAGCAAGGAGCCTTCCATCACTTCATTAGCAATGGAAAAATCGCACCTCAGAATATCTTGTCCCACTCTCACTGAGCCCAGCTATCCAGGCTAAGTAATGGAGGAGATAAACTGGGTATCGTGTAAGCATTGTGCAGCATGTACATTGACATGTACACTTTTATGATTATGAATGACTCAAAGAACAAACTGAATAGCACTAAGACTTCATCTACGGATGAGCTCAAACCCTCTTACCAAAGTCTTACAAGAGCTGACGTTTGTGTGCAAAGTTCTGCTCACTGATTCTGCTCTCTTCCCCATCTCTCTCCCCTCTCTTCTCCACCACTTCCACCTGTGACTTCTGCTTTTGCTTTGTCAATGTAGCTTTTAGAGCTTTCAATGTCACTGGTGCACACACAATGGCTGAGGGAAGGCAGTACCTCCTCCTTCACAGTTTAACAGGTCAGTGCGTTATGATATTAAGTTTCTGTGGTGCTTACAGGCTGCTTTTTTTTGCATTGCATTGTTTGTCACCATCTATATTTAACTTTTTATTTATGACGATTTTGATTTACAGCCAGATATGTCAATGTCAGCTCTTTGAGGATAGGAGACAGTCATTTTAAAGAATATTTATTGAGTACCTGTGATGTACTAGGAACTGTTCAGCTAATGTCCAGAATTCAGATGCTAAATGCCTTTTGTAAGATTTGTAGTTGTGTAGATTTATTCATTTCATGTATATGAGTACACTGTAGCTATCTTCAGACACACCGTAAGGGGACATTGGATTCTATTACAGATGGTCATGAGCCATCATATGGTTGCTAAGAATTGAACTCAGGACCTCTGGAAGAGCAGTCAGTGCTCTTAACCACTAAGCCATCTCTCCAGCTCTGGGTCTCCATTTTCAACTTTAATCCTAATCGAAAGAGATTTACACTTTGAGTACTCTTAACAACTAATACCATACCAGTATATATAAAAATCTGTGGTAAATGAAGTCTTCCAGAAACTGTGGCAGTGTTGTCAAGAAGCAGTTTAAAAGGATATGCTACAGTATATTGCCCCTTGGTGAGGTATTTGGAACTCTAGATAAGTGGCTGCTTCTGCCCCTAGTTTCTTGACTCATTCCTTGCTCCTCTTGTGGACTTTGATGTCTTCATATAGCAAAATCCACTCTCTATAAGCAGCAGTTCCTGGATCACAAGGCCAACAGAAGTAAGTGATGTGCTAAGCCACATCGCCCATGGTTCTCCGTTGGTTTGTGCAGGTGATGAGTTCAGCAGAGTTCTAGAAGTGTTTCATTTCACTAGCTTGCTCATGCAAGACTGACCACAAACCAGAAGAGATCAACAGTCAACCAAATCACTTCCATGTAAAAAATATTTGTAGGCAAGTTTTTGGTTATTAAGGTAACCAGCTGTCCTGATTCACTGCCCACTATGGGAAGTCTCAGGACATGGGCTAAAGCTAAAACTAGGTCAGTCCCTCCTTGGGAGTGTCCCTGGCAGATGCTGCTGCTGACCATGCTTTTTACAACCAATAATGAAGGAGAGGAGAGCCAGAATATACTTGGAATTCTCTCTGGGCCTTGTTGGGCTGAGACAACAGCACCACTTCCCTTTTCTATCCCTAAGGGGACTAAGGGCTTGAGTGAGCACAAAGTTTCAAACCAAGTTTCCTTTCCTGGTAAGAATGGGAAAAGAAACAAAGAATTTCAGGGAGTTGTGGGTAGGAAGGAAAGAGAAAAGGAAGAGATGAAGGCACACACTTATGTTCCATTTTATATAATTATTCATGGACTAATCTTTGCTAACAGATGTTTGCTGATACCTACAATGTGTCTTACAACATTCTAAGAAAAAATGAAGAACTGAAGAGACGGCCCAGTGGCTAAGAGCATATATTCTAAGCTGAGAACCAGATCTCAGTTCCCAGTACCTATGTCTGGAAGCTTATAACCTCCTATACTCAGCTCTAGGGTATCCAAAGCCCTCTTCTAGCATCTGTGAGCAACCTATACATGTAATACTCACACACACATACCCATATATACACATAATTTAAAAATAAATAAGAATGTTATACACATCTCAAGAAATTTGCATAGAAACTAATTTATTTCTACCTTTACCTACAAATAATAAGCAAATAAGTACCAATAAAGGCAAACATTTAAAAACATCTTTTAGGTCTTAAAAAGTAGAAATCTGTCTTACTTACAAGAAGGTTTCTTTGCCTGGCAGCCACAGTGATGGACATGACTCTCGGGAATGTCTGTACTAGAACTGATTCATATACACATCACGTCGGCAGTGATTCATTGTGTGGTATCTAACGTGACTCAGAGGAAGAAAATAAATCCTCAGTGCCTACAGGTGATAAAGCCTAGTTCAGCTTTTATCAGGCATGGTCGTAAAAGAACTAAATTTCCCCTATGTCTGAGTGAGTTCCTGTGAATAGTTTGGGGAGGTGCGATTACCTGTAAATTAGGTTCTCTGTGTATGAGATCACTTAGGATTTCAGTCTATATTATAAGAAAGTTATAAACATTTGCATTTGGAACTAGATGCTTAAAACCAAGGTTCCTAGAAAGACACATGAAACTAAGACCACATGTGAATTGGAACATCCTTTCAGGAGAGGAACCTATGAGAGGAAGGATACAGAAATGGGCCCAAGCAGGACACCATTGCAAAGGAAACTTCAGCCATCCTCAAAAGTAACTCTGGGGCCAAAATATCCATTCATACTTGTCCCGAAGTGAGGAGAGGGGCAGAGGCCTAGGTTCTGTGTTTATTCATAGAAAAGTCATCAAATTTGGATTGCCCCTCAACTAGGGGCACAAGCTCTGGCAGGAAAACATGCTGTGGGTAGCCACAGTTATCAGGAACTCAGCTGTGAGCTGTCACTGGCAGCTTTCTAGGTGAGAGGGGTGTCCTAGTCCTGAAGTACGAATCCACAGAGCACAACTGTAGCATCTACAGACACAGCATCTAGAACATCCCAACAAGCCAGGGCATTGAATCTGCTTTGAGGAAGCATCCAAAACATCACAAAATGCCAGGGGTCTGAATCTACTTTGATAAATGCCTTCTTTTGTATGAACTTGGGGCTTCACAAACCAGCTCAGGGATAAACTGACACACTGGAAGAGTCATATGAGTGTATCCCTTCTATGGTGGTTTCTGTGCTGGCCCTGTCCAGGTCAGT